ATAGAACTAAAACTGTTTATAGCACAGTGAATACACAGTTAATTCATTCATAATTACTTCTTTTAGTATGCTAGCACTAGGAGTTCCAGCTGGTATCTGCACTTCAGAACTTTTGAGGAAACAAATGAATAAATAAAATATTTTACCAAAAATCATTCTATACTTAATCTTTATAAACAGTGGAAGGTATGAACAAATACAGTGGTAATGTTCACGCAATATTCCTATAACTGCTCTTCTGGTAATCTCATAATGTACAGTCATAGTATACAGATAGTATACAGGTGCTTTTAGGAAAAATTATGGCTACATTTGATGCAGTAAAAAGGAGGAGAATGCAGCAAAAGCCTTTGCAATTCTGTGCATACATATGCTTTGATAGAGTGGCACACAGTTTTTGCAACATGTGTGTTTGTTACCATTCTGGCTGTATCTGCCTCATGTTTCAACCAGTGAAACATTAAGAAAGACCTGAATGTATGGATTTGTAACATATCTATGTACAATCTAAAACTTTGTATTGTTGGGAATGTTCGTGCTGGCTATTGATGGTCTTCTCAATTTTACCAGCTGAGGCCTCTGTAATTTGCAGTACATCTCAGTCCAGCAGCCCAGGGTGGTGTAAATTCAAACCTCTGTATTCAGTTCATGTGCTTCAATTCCTGCTATTGTTTTCAGTAGTTTCCACCAAGGGTGTGCTTTGCTTTGAGAAAACAGTGCTCCATTCGTCAATTTGAATTTTTTATTATATACTACTGACAATATGGACAGAGGGAGAGAATCAAACTACTGAAATTCCACCTAAAGTATAATTTAATCAGACTCTGGGCGCCTGAGTCTGAGAATAATTCAAATTGCCCACTCTCAAGCACCACCCAAGCCCTAGTGGCACCTAAAATGAATAATTTTGGACAACTGATTTCCCCTGGCGTCTGGGCATAAATTCCAGGCATGCTTAGAAGCACCATGGCTTAAGCAGACAGGCATGTAACTCCCACCCAAGTTCCATTGTGACTCAAAGATGTGTGCAGAGATGCCAGAACATTGCCCATGTCCCTAGAGTGCCTAAGCCATTGACTGTGCTTCAGTCACACATAGTAAGCTTGGACAGCATTGGATTCAACACAAACCACAGCAGACATGAGTGTTTGAGTGCAGAAGAGGAAGAGGGAGCCTTTTTAATAGACTTAAAAGTTTGAGCAGTTTTCTGGGAAGGATGTCTTGTTTGGTAAGGAAATTAAACAAAAATGGGAGAACTTAATTGTTGTCCCACTGAAAAGGATATTTGCTTTTCATGGAGACCTCAATTTTTTTGCTCCCAAGTCTGATGATGTAATTTTGTTCAGACACTGTTGTCCAAAAAGGCATCTGGTTGAGAGATCAGATGTCAAGGATATCCTCATCTGCTTGTCTGTGTTAATTTGTAAGTTCTTTTGTCTTGTCTTTACAGATAAATTTGCACACTTACCAGTTGCTACCCATATTTCTGTAACATTATAACTCGCTTAAAACCTGTCATCTCTCTTACTGCTTTTGGTGCAGACACCATGATTTACTACCCTAAGTTCATGTTCTCTGTTTGTACTGTGTGTACATCTGTAGACTTTGAGGTGAGCTTGGTGTAGGTTTCCTTCACCCTTTCTGTCTCTCCTTTTCTTATTGTTTTTATACTGTGCCATGTGGAAAGGTTAAATACTCTGTGTTGGAGTACTTTTTGGGTTGTGGATATTGGGTTTTAGGATTTTTGGGTTGAGGAACAACTTGCTTTTGAATTTTTTTATTAATGTTTGATGCCATTCCTTTATTGTTTTCACCCTGTACAAAATACCTCATAAATTTTCTCAGGTTTTAAATGTTTGTAGATGTGAGCAAATGAAACAGTATAGTAAACATTCAAACTTTTGAATTTCAAATTCAGTATTCCATGAAATTTTGGTTTGGCTTTTCTCATGTTCCAACATGAGGTTTTATGTTCATTTTTCTGTTTGTTCTTTTATTTTTCTCATCACATATCATTATATTTATTCTTTAAAACATGTACATACTTTGCCCAATTTTGAGGAATTTTAACTGATTTTACAGAGTAGCAGATGCCATGGTAATAACACTTAAATATCACTGAAGTATCTTATTAATCATCTGTACCAAAGTCACTTCAATGCTCAATGCATGCTTTTATATTCTGTTCCAGTCACTTGAAGCCAGTTAGGGAGGAAGAGTGTAGGGGAAATTGTGTATGGTAGCAGACAGCCAGACAGCAGACAGGTATATTTCATCCCATTATTTTGTTCCTTTTCATGTTCACCATCTAGCTAGAAGGGTTGACTGTGAAGTATATACTTTAAAGCATCTGTTAATGATTTTTTGGTCACCAAGGAGTCTTCGTATAGGCACCAATGATAACTCTTCTCAAAATAAAGATACTGATTCTGTTAAGTTAAATCTCTGGTATATGGTGGTTGTATATTAAATTTGTACTGTTTGTTGGCCAGATAGTGGAACGAGTTTCCCGAAGAGTTTTGGAATAATTCCCATTCTAGATACTTCCAAAACTCAGCAGGACAGGATTTACAGTAACCTGATATAATTTTCAGGTTGTCCCTACTTTAAGACTGGGGTTAAATCCATTGACCTCCAGAAGTACTTTCCTACCTAAGTTATTTTGTGAATCTCACTAAATTTATCCTTAGGTCAATTCTGCTTAAATCATGCCTCTTTAGTTGAATTCACTGAAATTGTTGATGTCCTTAGGAATTAATTTGATGTTGTCTGCTTTTCTCACTTCTCTCAATACGGTTTTCTTTGTCAGCTCAAAGGTAAGGGAAGTTAGAGTGAACTCCTGCTGGTTTTTGTAACACTGGCCCATACCTTAGCTCTTCCTTTGTTTCCTGAATCATTTGGTAAACAGTTAAGGAAGGTAAATTTATATCATGTGTACTCACACAACCAAACTTATGTGAGACAATTCTGAAAGAAACACAATTTCAGAAGACTTAATACTGTCATACATCTAGATGGCTGTGAAAGCATTAGGAAGGCATGCAGTGAAAAGTGATGGAGTGGAGGGTGGGTGTGAGAGTGGAGAAAATAGTGCCACCTTGCCCAAAGACTGCTTCTGCTTGTCTTCCGGACCTACAGTAACAGTCATGGTTCCCCTCTTTTCATTTGATGAAGACTTCTGATCATTTCTTTTCCACAGTTGTCTGTCCTTTGTCCATTAATGTGAATTCCCCAGTGTCTCCTATATGGAACTTAGCTGGGAAAGTTAATTTACTTTAGAGAGCTAATCAGATGCTCCCATCCACATCAGATGCCAGATATCCTGTCTAGCTTACAGCTGTAAACCTGAGATACCATCTCCTTAGCCTGCCTGGGGTGCAGGAAATCATAGGGCTGATCCCATGTCCAGATAGTTTATTGTTCTGCAGTCACACACTTATGCCTGGTGAAGGTATTTTTTTTATAAATCATGAAACATGTCCTTTATGCTATATTTAAAATACAAAGTATGAAATCTAGGTCTAAGTACAGCCAAGCCTATTCTCTTTCGCCTTGCCTTTTGACATTCCAACGTCTATAGCTGTATAATAGCATATGGATCCACTAACAATGTGGGACAGCAGCCAATTTGGTCCTAGGATAAAACAGGAATCAGCTGTGGGAAATAAGCCAAAGAAGTGTGATTCCCACATGAGAAACTTAAATAGGTGCTAGTCCTTAAAGAAGCTCTTTGGCAGGATTTAGAGCAGGCTTCTCTGCACAGGAGGCATTTTTCCTGAGCTCCTAAGTACAACAATGTCTAGGAGGGTTGTGGGGCTATTGTTTCATCAGCTGTAGTGCTTTGCTCTTTCTTTGCTCCCACCTTTCTCGTTTTATTTTGTTGTTTTTTTTTTTTTTTAAGAAAAGCTTTATAGCACATTGCTGTATAATTGTAATCAGTATTTTTTTAGAATTAAACCATTTGCTTCATGTGATTGTGGGAAATAAAATGGAGGAAATTTTTCTTCTGCGCAGGGGGGTCCACAGGCTTCCTGAACTCTGATCCAGGGAATGCTTTCTGCACCATGGCTAGCTGATTGCAAACAGCAATGTGAACGCTTTTGCTATTCCTGTGTTGTGTACAAATCTGTGGTTTTAATTTTCTCACCTCTGTCTTAAAAAAGAAATCATTTGAAATGCAGAAGCTTCAAATTAAATAAGTTGATTGTACCATCCTAATTTATTTAGTAAAGAATTAGTGTATATTTAATAGTTACCAAAGTCTGTAGAGTTGAGGTACAGATTTCATTTTTTGTGAAATGCAGACTTTTCTAAGAGTTCATGGAAGTGGTCTTGAGGTGCATTCTGTGATATAGGTCAGACTTTTTTGAGACATTGATGCATCTTAGGTAAGAAAGTAATAACAAAATCAAACAACACTAAATAATTTGTTCTAAAACACATTCCTTATTTGTTTTCAAGCTTGCTAAATGTCCAACTGTTCTGATGCTCAAGATGTCCGAGCCATTGCCCATGGAGGTCACTGGATCAAATCCCTGCTCAAAGCAGGACCAACTTGGAAGTTAGATCAGGTTATTATGAGCCCTGTCCAGCTGTGTTTTAAAAGTGTCCAAGGATGGGGATTATTCCACAAATCTTCTACAAAACTTATTTAAGTATCCCAAGCAATAAACTGGAAAAAGATGTATTTTAAAATACTTTCACGTGGGACATTCACTTTGCATTATTTCTTTTTAGACTCCTATTTATATTAATCACAGATGCTAAAAAATTAAAAACAAAAATGAATTAAAAAACTTTCAGTCGTTTATTCTTATAAAAAGACTGAATTGTACTTTTGAGAAGAAACACTTCTGAATGCTGAGGCCTGTGAATATGTATGAGTGGGAGCAAGTGTTTGGCTTCTTGTTTTCAGCAGGTATTATTTCTGTTAATTCCTTTTAAGCAGTGCTGTTTTGTATAAGAATTACAAGAAATCTTTTTCCTCCCTCTTGTTCCAGGCAAGTATTTCCAAATGGGCTTCCTGAAGAATACTCTCTGGTTGCTACATTCCGTGTACGGCGAAATACCAAGAAAGAGCGTTGGTATATATGGCAAGTTTTAAATCAGTATGACACACCTGAGGTTAGAGTCATCTTTGATTTATTCCTTCAAAAAGTTTCTTTTTTCCGGCATGTAATATGGCACATGAAATTATGGATGTTTCATTAATGGATTTAGCTAGAGTTTATGTGAAATAGACAGACTGCTCTGAAATAATTGATAATTTGTGGCAGGAATGACAGAAATTTAGCAAAATCTATTCAGTTTAGACTGCAAAATAGAATAAATGCATGTTTTGATTCATAGGTGATATATATTTACCAAGTTACATCAAAGAATGCTTCATAACATAATTCTTGCCCAGTATATGTAGTTGAAATATTTTTGTTATATATGGTTTATATATGTGCTTCTTTCTTATAACTTTTAAATAACCACTTATTTTATTTTGTCTTGCTTTCAGATCTCTGTCCTCCTGGATGGTACAAAAAAGGTGGTGGAGTATATGACCAAATCCTTTCAGGGAAATATACTGCACTACACTTTTAAGAGTCGAGAAATTTATCCATTGTTTGATCGGCAGTGGCATAAGCTTGGTATTAGCGTGCAGTCAGGGATCATTTCCCTCTATTTGGATTGTAATTTAATTGAGAGAAAGCAGACTGATGAAAAATTCACCATTGACTTGCAGGGAAGGACACTGATTGCTTCTCGTGCTGCGGATGATAAGCCTGTAGATGTGAGTAGTGTGAAAGGACAAACAGATAACTTGAAGTAATGTTTTAGCCACGCTTCTACTAACACAGTTGTATAGAATCACGTAGATAAAATGTTCAAACCCAGTCATTATTTTTGAGTGTGTATTCTTAATTTGAAGTCCTTAAGTGTTTTTCTTTAAACATTATTCAATTATGTAGCATCTGCTAGGACAAAGCTGTTGCCAAAGTAACTGCATAGAACTCAGTCCTGGTTCAAGGAGTCTGTTTTTCTGTATTTAATTTGGAGAAAGAGCCATCTAATTACCACAGATATAGTATTTCTATGTTTAAAGGTAACTTGCAGTCCTAATTATTTTCTTTCATTTTTAGTAAGATTTATTTATAGGTTTGTATCAGTCATCTGTTACACTTTGTCTGTCTTTGATAAAGGCGAGATACAAAATAATTAAGGATTACCTCTGTATTCAGGTCTTCTAGAGTAATTCAGCTATGTGGAAATAGGGGCACATTGTTCATAGTTGTCTCTCCCTTGTCCAAAAGAGAGGGATTAGGAAGTGGCCAGAGGTGTGTTTCCTGCAGCCTTTGGTGCAAGAATTACCCAATGAAGCCCCATGATATTCTGGGATGTTTTTTGTCCTGGGAATGCTCTCTTCTGTTTCCTCGTGCAGGAGAGAAAGTAATTTGAAAGCAAGTAATTTGAAAGCACAGCAAGTAATTTGAAATCTTCAGGAAATATCAGTTATGTTTTAAGTGCAGTGACATGAAGCTACCAGGTTTAAAGCATCTGCCCTGGGGTTTATAGTGACCATCAGAAAGCTTCAGCGATGTTATGTACTCTGTAGGGCTCCAGAGGAAAACAGCACATTTTAACTGCAAGCTAACATTGCAGGAGGAGTCATTCTTGTGGGGCTAAGCACTTTGGCCTGAACTCAGATCTCTTGTTTCATGGAGCCAAGCTCATGCTTTGTTTTATTTTCTCAGACTTGAGTTCATTATTTAAAATGTGTGTACTGTTTCCTCATTTCCAAATAGCATGCAGCAGAAAAAGCAGGTTTTTTTCTGCTAGTCACATGGTATGAGCTGGATAATTCTGAGTGGAAGTTTTCAATTGGGATTTCCATGTTTGCAGGAAAACATTATGGGCTTAAAGCTGATGAAGGCAGCAGAGCAGATCCTATACCAATGGTCACTTTTCTCAACACCAAGTGCAAGAGGGAGATTAAGAAGATATAAAACCTATGCAAAAAGAGGAATATGATGACAAGAATATCTAGTTAGAATTTTACTTGCTTCTCATCTTTCCAATCCACCCAAAGTCTCTGAAACAAAAGCTTTATATAAAGAATTTGTGACTTTTGCTCTTCAGGTGATTTAGTGGCCATGTCCAGGCAAAGATCTGTCCAAAGCAATGGATGCATGTGATAGAGAGTTTATTAAACCTTTATTTTAGTTACCTGCAGAGGAAAATTACCTTTCCTGAAAAGATTTGTAGAGGATGTCTACAAGGCTAAAATTCTTGTGTAATATAGCAAACCAATACAGATGGATGCAACTTAAGTGAAAATAAACGAAATCTAAAATGCTATTTACATCAAAGTAATAGACTGCATAATTTGTTCCTTAAGTGAGGAGCTGTGTAATTGTTTTGGATTTGTCTTTTTCTAGCATTTCAGAAATATGCAGTGTTTCAAAGAGAAAGTTTATTACCCCAAGATAAGAAAAAGCATGCCATAACACATAATTTTTTACACCTCATATTAATCTCTTTTGTATTCCTTAATAGATTGAACTTCACCACATAGCAGTTTATTGTAATTCACAACTTGCAGTAGAAGATACATGTTGTGAAATATCTGCAGACTTGGTAAGTTATCTGTTAAAATTCAAATGTTAATACAAAAGCAATTGCATTATTGTTTCCTGCTAAATAGCTGTAAAAAATTTTCAACAGTGGTGATAATTTAATTACCTCCTAAAAATGAATTCCATATCTGGAGTCATGGTACATAGTTTTTTGCTGCCTAAACAAATGGTACAGTGGAACATCAGAAAAAGGTACTAGGTGCTGCTAGTGCTTTTTAAATGCATTCCTTAACATTGATTAATTTCTAATTAGTAACTGAAGAAGCCTCAGAGAGTAGGAAACAAATCACTGAGATGGTTTGAGAATGGTTTCCAACAACAGAGGCCATTTCAGTAACAGTTGCATCTTGTGAAGCTTTACAGATGAAATAAGCAAAGCCCATGAAAGAGTCTGGAATAATAACTAATAACTGGAAAGTTGTAGTGGTAGGTTGATGGTTGGACTTGATCCTACAGGTCTCTTCCAACCTTGATGATTCTATGAAATACTTTCTTCTTTAGAATGTACATGCCGAAGTGTATATATTGTTTAACATGAGGGAAAACATTGATTTAGTTTAAAGGGTTCACTTTTCCCTCTTTTTTTGATAGACAAGAATCAGTATAAACTGGAAGACAGTAGAACCATAACTAGAAGTTGTAGATGTAATTATTTTGCTCAATCTAGCCCACAAAAAAAAAAACAAAAAAAAACCCCAAACTAAAACAACAAAAAAGCCAAAACAAAACAAATGCCCCCCCCCTCAAAAAAAAAAAAACAAAACACAAAAAACCCAACCAAACTATAAGTACCCTCAGAAAGACATTGTGTTAAACTATTGGCCTGCTATTCATAAGCAGTCTGGAAGATCAGGCTCCTCTGAGGCAGTGGACAGTGCCATCACCACCCAGGTTGTAGTCAGCAAAAAAACCCCAGAGCATGTGGGACTGATTGGTTACATCCACAAAGAGACAGGGGAAAGTGTACCTGGATGGGAGAGAGGAACACAGGACTGCTTGGTGCTCAGAAGCATGAAAGAAGCATGGTCTAATTTCAGGGGACAAATTTCAATTTTAAACAATGATTAATCGTTCAAATATATTTCTGAATGTATTCTTGAGGGTAACGCAGACTTTCTCTTAAATGTGTAAGCTTATGAAAAAGTGGAATTAATTAAATTCCGGTATGTCCTTGGTGCTTGGAAATACAATTTATTGAGCAGTTATGACACAATAGCAGAAAAAGCAAGAACAAAACAAACCCTATTTATACATAAGATAAAAAGCTCAACAATAGGCTTTATCAATAACATGTAAATATTCATTCATCTATGTAGCTAAAACCACCATCAGTTTAATTTGTATTTTTTATGTTTAAGATGTAAGAAAAGGTGGACTACTTGTTAATGACTTTCATATTAAAACTAGCATTACATTTTCTGACTTATTTTTTTCACAACTTCCCTACCCATTATAACAGCTACATTTTCAGCAATTTAAGGGAAGGAATTTATACTTGGATATGGATTTCTATGCTAAGCAGTAAATCCTGTGGGAATTTCTCTGACAGAAGGCTCGAAAAAAACTTCATTACATCTTAATGAGACTTACTGAAGTTTAGCAGGTTCTGTTGACTTGTCCTGTAGTATCTCTTCAGGTTGGCTCAGGAGTCACAGACAGGTAAATCTTGGCTTCAGGGCTTTTTTGTTTGTTTCCAAACTATCTTTACCAGTAGTATTTTACTACAAGGAAATAAAAAAAGTTTTCCTTTGCACTCTTATATTTTGCACTTAAGGGCAGGGCAGAGGACAGGATGAGACTATGCAGTACTATCTTTTTTCTTTCTTCCCATGGACATTTTCTGTCCCACTAATTCTGATTTTGGGAGACTTTATTCCTCTTTATTCTTCTGTCTTTTGGAAGAAAGAAGTGGGGCAGTCATATCAATTTTAACTGGCATCAATTTTAGAACAGAAGGATCTAAATATCTAGAATTGATTTTTTTACAGCTTTTTTCTCTGTTAGGAAGTTGTTGTCACTTTCCACGTATGGTTTGTACAGGAGTATTAAAACAGAAGATAGAACAGAAAGTTGGATGGTATTTACCTGTTACCAAAGTGGACCAAAAAGAAGAAAATCTTTTTTTTTTTTTAGTGCTCACATGAGGAGAGGTTACTGGCTACGACTTCATCACCAGTGACTGTTCATGCCAGCAAAATATACACGCTTCCTGGGATGCAGCAAGAATCTACACAGAGATGCTACTGCTTTCCAAATAAAGTATAAAGTTTTCCTGTTGCTTTTTAATGCATTATGCTGTTTAATCCTGTTGGATATAAAAACAGTTGGGTTTGGTTTTCTTTGCAGTCATGAAAAAATCTTACTTATTTGTAGTATTGTACCATATTTACATTGTATTTCCCAGTTAAGAACCAGTACATTTTGAATTTAGTTAAATCCAAAAAGTAAAGTAAAATTAGAGACGTCAGTAAGGTTTAATTGTTTGAATATACACCCAAGAAAGTACCATGGTAAAACTGAGAATTATATTTAGGTATTATATTTAGTGTAAATGTTTTCACTTGAGAATGAATTATATTCTACACAATGTTTGTTTTCTTTTAGTACTTCTCCTGGGTGTTGCACTATATTTATTGAGTCATTTGCTTTGTTAGGCATTTGTGACAAAGACAGGAAACCTAACCAAATATATTTTAGATCTGCTTTGTTGACTTTTTTTATTTCTTTTAAAATCAGGGAGAAGCAGGATTACCAGGAGTAGCTGGTTTGCCAGGCCACAAAGGAGAGAAAGGTGAAAAGGTAAAATATCACTTGAATTCTCTTTTTCAAGCCTTGTCATTGGCTTATCTTTCTTAAATAGAAATTGCATGGATTCTGTTATCCCTTGAAGGAACCTGCCTGAACACAGGGTGGATCCTTTATCAGTCAGTGTCTGGCTCTGTGTGTGAACTCCCTGCCAGGCATTTTACAGCTGCCCCACTTTGGGGTCACCTCATCAACTCTGTGGAGCACATTTTACCTGCCTGGGAAGCACATGCCTCCCCAGCCCTGCCACCATGCCCTGTACAGAAGACATGTATATATTCTGACAAGAATTGTTCCATCTCCTGTGTGTACATCACTGCTGATGGACAGAATCCCATGTGGTGGAATCATCCTTGCAATCATCAGTAGGAGGGTATGAAATATATATATATCCATATATTCTTTGACAATGCTCATACCTGAAACTGATAATTGTGAAGAGAGAAGAATCTGACATTGGCAAGTCTCTAGGACAGGCCGGTTGGTCCTTTCCTTGGCCTTTTCTGAATTTTTCTGTAATGCTTACCATGACATTCTTATGCTATGTAGCTTGGAATTTCCTAATTCTATAGGTCAACATATCAGATGTTTTCCTTTCACATTCCATTCCTTAAATTTTGTTGGAGGATGCTGAAGTAAGACACAGCTGAGAATGTGTTTTCCATGTGCTACTAGAGGGGGCAAGTTGAATAAACTATTGTAAATCTGGCACAAAGACAGTGAGATAGGAATTGGGGTCAGGAAATGCAGTTTGTATGAGAGGAAGTTGCCTGGACTGTCCTAATCCAGAGGTTAGATGGTGGTATCCTAACCCAACATCCCACCTTGCAGCACACCATTTAATATGTGATCTGAAATAGTTTGTGAAGACAGCCAGGGCTGTTCCTATAACTGTAGTGTCTGGCTGAAAAGGGTCCAGTTCTGAGAAGGCTTATCTACACAGCTGGTTGAAATTAAGAACATTTATTGACAGTATAATTCCCCCCACCACAACTCCTCCCCTCCAGTATATATTTCAATTTTTGACACAAGCTGTATTTTTAGGTGAAAAAAAAAGTTCAATCATGTTAGTTTCTATAGTCCAGCTGAATCTAGAGGGACTGCTGTCAGTGTTCAGACCTAATCATGAAGTTTTGGTCTAGAGTGTATAAACAATTTTCAGTTTTTAGTTTTAGCTATGCTAACAGCACAGGGAGTTTCCTAGCATTTGTTTGGGAAACAGCTCTTCTGCTCCTGACCTGATTCACTTAGACCATTATTGCTACTAAGTTGGGAAAGCAGACTTCACAAGTCTGATTTTTTTTTACCATTTAATCTCCCAGCCAATTAGCAGTATTTACCATGCTGAGCATAGTGCCTCTAAACAAAACATGTAAGGTTCTGTTCTTCCACTTGTTTTAGAAAAAGAGCCTCATTGCATGGATTCTCTGTGCATGGAACTGTCTGAGCCAATGAACCCCGATGCACCCAGAAGTTTAACCTAAAGAAAGTATATTGACGTTTATGAATGTCCTTTCACAAAATTGAATGAATCAGCAGGTCAAAGTCAGGGGTAGAACACCAAACAGGTAGAAAGCTTCTTAATTTGATCTTTTCTTACAACTGACCAGTACTTGTTGCTTCCTAGCTTTGCAGTTGGTGGGGTTTTTTTCTCTTTTGGGGGGATGGGGAAGGGGGGTTGGATGGAGGGCACAGTATGACTGTGACCAGGATTGGCTCACTGACCTTTGGGAGTAAACAAATCTTGAGCTAAATAGTGCCTACCATGATGGAGCTGAAAGCAACATTCTCTGAGATTTTAATACCATTTTTCTCACTGACTCTGCATTTACGCAAGTTTTCAGTAACACTCCTTCTCAATGACGGCCTTGTTACATCAATAATTAGACCTGACGAGGCAGAAAGGCTCCAGAACATTCCAGAACATTCCATATGTAGGATACATGACTTATTGTCAGATTATATAAAGGAAGCTAACAGACTCTGGCTGAGTGTCTTGTAATGTATTATACACAAAATAGGCAGCTTCTTGATAACTTTGCTGGCCAGTTACAAAAAACAGGTCTTCTCTGAGTTCTGTGGTTCCTAAGCACGTTTCCCCCTTTGCTTGGGCTCAGCTTCTCATTTCATTTTTTCTTTTGTTTCTAAATCATATTACTATAGGCATCCAACTAATATGTATATATTGTATAATGTATTTAAATGTCTGTGCCATTGCAGCATACAAGTGAAAATGTTAATTTTTTGCCTTCTTTAATAAGAAATTTCTGATTCTGTTGATATTATCTCCTTTTCAGCACAAAAGTTCTTATCCTTTTATTTTGCTTTATCTAATTCCAATTTCCCATTCACTTTAATTAATTGTATGATTGAATTTATGTCTTTTTTTGTTGCTATGGGATTGAAAAGGAAGTCTCTACTGATTGATATTAGGCTATATTCAAGCCCCTTAAAATTGCCCTTCTCTTCAGTCTAAAATCACTGTTCCCTAAGGTCAGACTATTCAGGAGCATCTAAGCTATCACCAGTGTAAAGTATGATAACTTATAAGCCATTTTAGGCATTTTGAATTTAATTATTAGCCTGTATCCACTCCATTCCTGTACTCTTGGCTCAATTTAAAGTATATTGCAGGCCCAAAGGACTGGAGTGCCATATTTTCACTGGAACAACCATTCATGCAAATATTGATATATCACTGGCAAGCTGTGCATCTGAATGCAGAGGAGCATCTGATCAAAATTATGCCATTTGTGTGAATGACCTTCCTGTTTGTATACCTGGCCTTCCATTATGACTTCATGAGGACAGTTCTTCACTCAAAACTTTTATCTCTGATACTTTGGGCATGGAATAGTTGATTTGCTCTGCAGGATATTTTTGCTGGGAGATCAGCTTCTGCAGCAAGGGACCAACTGTTTTTTAATTTCTCAATAATTAAGACTGAAAAAATTTCCTGGACCAACTTTGTTTGCTACTTACTAAGTGTACAGTTTGGACTATCTCTAAATAATATTCTGTATATTCTCATGGCAGCTTGATTCTTAGCACAGTGTATCGCACAAGTTGCAAGTGGACACAACTTACGTGGAAGTCTTCTGTGATTTTAACATTTTGATATTTTCTGTGGAGTTGAGTTTTCTCTTCTTCTGATCTGAGTGAGATATTTACTGTGGTTTTTATTTGGTTGCAATTTGTACTACTTCAGCATCATATTTAGCTACTCAGAATCTTAGAAACATATCTGTTGTTAGCAAATGTCTTTTAATAATGTTGTAAAGGTCCTGTTTTGTCCTCAGTATGTAGAAATTCTTCAGAAAGACAGAATATGGGTTACCATAATTGGAATGATTACATATATGCTGAATATATAAACTGATTTTCTCTCTCAAGGAGGCTAAAAAAAAAACCTGTTTTCTACTTTTATTTCTTTCAAGCAGACTAAGTGCCCATGAAATATTTTAAATTGAAATCTAAACAGAATTAAATATTTTGATATAATGTTAAGCCAGTGTTAGCTGTGTAATTAGGTCATTAGTTAATGCTGTAAGTGAACTAGGGACCAAAAAGCCAGAGGCAGATTGCTTTCAAATATTAAAATGCTTGTTGATGTACACCATGGAGAAATTTTTTGCTATTCAACTTCATTTTAAATTTTACTTAAGGAAAAAGACATTTAAAAGGCTATTTTGGGATTGGTAGAGATAGGTTTATGCAATGTATTATTGCGCTAGGAAAATATTTGTAATAGAATGATATAAAAAAAGATCTCCTGGAGAACAAATGAAGTGTCTGAACTGTTCTTTCTCTCCATTTTCCTTGCTAGTCTTTCTTTCCTGCTACTCTGACTTTCCTCTCAAAATCCAGTCAACTTGATTCCACCTAAAGCATATCTATTGTACTATGCAGCCTTGAGAAAGGTTCCTTTCTGGCCCAGTCTTTGTTGCTGAGGTTATTGATAGGGACCTGGAAGCTGGAATTCAAGAAAAAGAAGAAAGCTGAGCAAAATACGGCTGGCTGTCAGTTATGACAAAGTCAGGAATTGCCAGTACACTTAGTAGAATAAAATCTTACAATAAGCAGAATGAAATGCTTTGTGCTTACCAACCTAAGAATTTATGGATAGTCCCACTTATGTTTTACCATCTAATTGCCCAAGTTATCAAATTAAAAAGGGAAAATACCATTAGCAATGCAACCATTTTTTTCTTATAAAAAATTCTGAAACGTGACTTATTGTCCTTGTTAACGTATTTGCCATTCCAGTACTCATCTCAGGCCTGAGTTTAAGTGTTCCTGAGGAGTGGAGATGGTGGTGGCAGCAAGTCCTCACCACTCTGAGGTGCTCAAGGGTGTGGGAGAATGTCACACTTCCCCAGTGGGGCCATTCCAGAGCTGACACAGGAGCAGGGGAGCCAGCAGTCACTGTCACCGGTGCAGGAGTTAAACCAGTGACACCCAGCTCAGGCCTTGGTGAGCTGAGCTCCTGCTCTGATGGGACAGAACACAACTGGGGGCTTCTGCTGGGAGTAGCAGGGATCATACTTCCTCATCTGTATACTCCCTGCTGCTCCCACAGTACCAGGGAAACCCTGGAATGATGCTGCCTTTGGGATGAGTTTTCTTTCTCCTAACATATTCTCTGAGTGTGAATTTTTTTTTTCCTTTTTGCTAATAGACACTTTTTTGGCTTTGGTTGGGTTTTTTGTATGTTTTGTTGTTGTTGTTGTTGTTTTTGTTGGGTTTTTTGTTGGTCTTTGTTGTTGTTGTTGTTGTTGTTGTTGGTTTGGTTTTTTTTCTTTTTTAACCTGGACATTTCTGGTGATGTTGTGTCCTGGTTTTAGTTGGGACAGAGTTCATTTTAATCCCAGTAGCCAGTATGAGGATGTGTTTTGGATTAGTGCTGGAAACAGGGTTGATAACACAGGGATGTTTTCATTATTGCCAAGCAGCACTTGCACAGTGTCAAAGACTTTTCTGCTCCCTATCCCACCCCACCAGCAAGGGGCTGGCAGTGCAGAAGGAGCTGGGAGAGGACACAGCCAGGACAGTGACACCAACTACCAAAGGGATATTCCATACCCAACACATGGTGCCATGATCAGCAAATAAAGTATATAAAGCAGGGGGAAGGAGGAGGAAGTGGGGGCACATGTGGAGTGACACCATTTTTTCCCTAGTCACCACTATATATGATGGAGCTCTGCTTTCTTGGGAATGGCTGAACACCTGCCCTCCCACGAGAAGCTCAGTTGAAAAGGATTTTAATTGTCACCCTCTGTAAATCCTGACAGTAGATTTACAGCTCATGGTTCTACCTTTGGCTGTTGTTACAGTGTGTACCTCATAACCTATAAATGCCAGCCTTGTGCTACTGCTGTTCACCACCTTATAAAGCTGTTTTCCCAGCAACTTATCTTTCACTTTTGTGAAGGACTTTAAGGCCTGCAGAAGGAAAAGAAAATACCATTAAGAAAAATGCAAAAATATTAATGATGCATTTCATATATTTTTGGTTTTAGTCTATGGTACTGTTACTATGAATACTGTTAGATACCTATAGTGTCTGATATTTATATTCATAAAGGCATGAAAAACTGCTACCTTTCCACCTGTGGTTTTTAAAATCACAACAAGAAGGTTGAAGCATAACTTGCAGATCTAATTTACAGTGGAAAATAATTGTCTTTAAGATGGGGAGTCTGTCTGCAGTTAGTGGAACAGTAGTGTAAACATACCTTGGTTAATTGGTAAGTAAGTCACACAGGCTAAAGGTTTCTTGACATGTAGCAGGCTGTGTAATTTTAGACTACACAGTGTATAAAAATACACCACTGAAGGTAACAAAGTGGTACTGGTCTATTAAAATACTGGCAAGTGGCACAAGGGAACAGAGGATGCATAGATAAGAGAATGACTCTGTGGGTGATTAGATAAGGTAACCTTTACCTCTCACAGTGCCAGTGGATTTATGCTATTCATGCATACAGGATTTTGGTCTATTTTTGAGACAGAGCTGTTTAATATCTTTATCCATGGTCTGGGTGAGGGCATACAGTGCATACTCAGTAAGAACAAGTCTTATGAGGAGTGACTGAGGGAGCTGAGGGTATTTAGGCTGGAGAAAAGAAGTCTCAGATGTGACCTTACTGTTCTCTACAAGTGCCTGAAAGCAGGTCGTAGGCAGGTGTGGGTCAGGCAGGCAGCCAATGACAGGACAAGAAGAAATGGCCTCAAGCTGTGCTACAGAAGATTCAAGCTGGACATCGGGAAGAATTTCTTTGTTGAAAAGCTGGTCAGTCCTTGCAATGAGTTACCCAGGAAAGTGGTGGAGTCACTCTCCCTGGAGGCATTCAAGAAACAACTGGACATGGCACTCAGTGCTATGATCTCATTGGCATGGTGGTCTTCAGTCAAACGTTGGACTTGATGATCTTGAAGGAGTTTTTTAACCTTTATGATTCTGATACAACTCTTGTTGTGTACTTCTGGCCAATCTTACTGCTCCTTTCTCAACTTCAGAAAGATTAATAATCTCAGACCAGAGTTATAATGTTATTCTTGCAGGAGAATGTTCTTGATAGAAGTAGGCATACCTAATGTTTTGTTTTGTTTTTAAATAAACACTACATGGTTTCAGTCCTTTTGTTGTACTCCTCTGGCATCCAAATAATTTTTATTTTAAATTTTTTAAACCTTATACTTTACATTATTTAGCAACATTTCTGGGTTTGATGTTTTCTTATGTAATTTTTAAGACTTATGGTCCAATTTACAGCTGCTGGGGTCTTCCATAACTCCCGACCAATCAGGAGAGTTATAGAAGAGAGTCAGTTTTTCTCTCAAAACTAAAATTTTCTTATAGATTGTTTATGGTTTGGGGTTTGGTTTCTCTTAAGGGATAAAAGGGAGGGAGAGAGAAATTTTAATAATGCCTTTTAAAAATATTGAGGGCACATGACTTTGTACAAATCTGTATTACACGATGAGCTTTCTCAGTGTAGAACTGAAAATGGACCCTTTTGGTTTCTGTCTTCTGTTGCAATGAATTCCTTTAAAATTAGTTGCTTTTATGGAAATGTGGATGTGCAAGCATTTGTATGATGAAGGACTTAATTGATGTTATACGTGTTTAAAATGCATTTATTTTGCTGATTTTAGTATGTCACGTAAGGCATCCTTCTCCACAGTGGTTGCATTACTAAAAAAATCAGATAGAAGATGCTTTTCTATCGAGTCTGATATGACCTGAGTAGTTGTTGTTAACCTCAGAAGTCTGTGGAGCTTCTAATTGATCCATTTGTTTTGTAGGGAGAGATGGGTGTGAAAGGACCAGACGGTGTTGCCGGGCTGCCGGGTGAAAAGGTATGTTCCTGTTTGTTGAGTTGTGATTAACTCATGGGAAATGTTCATTGTGTCAGTGGCTTCTCTGTAATAGTTTACAGAAATGGGAGGATAGAACATTTCTGGTAGAACATTAATATCTTACCTGCACTGCCATGTTTTTGTAGCCCACTGAAAAAGCTGTTCAGATCTGCAGGTGTATGTGTTTTGTGGGGTTTTTTCCCAAGAAGTGGGGGTTATGTACAGAGCTAAAGAAAGTTACTTGTTCCACTTGCTCAGTCTGTGGTCTGCAAGCTTAGATAAGAGCTCTTGTGCTCTCAGCAGGCATCTTGGTGGAGCTTGAGATATACACCACTGACTTCTTAATCAAAGGTTTGGAATAGCCATGGCTAAGAAGGCATGCCAGCCTACTGGTGTATTCAAGGATAAGTTTCGTTTCATTTCAGAATGTAAGCGTGCAAAATAAGACAGTTGTATGCACTTATTGGGTTTGGTACTACTTACCTGTATCAGAGGAACTCTGTAAGTCTAAGATCTAGAATCTTCAGTATAGAGACAACCTTCAGAACACTGAGGAAACAGCCTGTTGCTGTCAGGCTTAAAACCTGTGGGTTTACAGGACATAAAATCATGAAATTGTCTTTTATTTTTACTTATTATTTCTGTCTCAAATTGTGGTTTTTTAAAAATGGGAGGTAGACATATACAAGCATAGTTAAGGGTAAAAATCAAGGTATTTGTTGCTGATGTTAAGTTATATTGGTAGAAAAATGGAGAACAGGCTGCAAAGATGTTCAAAGGAATTTGCAACATTGAAGAACTGATTTGCCAAGTGGTATGTAAAACTCAGAGGAAGCAATAGACAAGTGATGCAGAGGAAGAGGAAAACAAAGGAAGCATTATGCATTTCCTGCCAGACTGGACTAGCCAATACTGCTCAGGAAGAGATCTTGGAATTACAGCTCAAGGAAAACATGGACTCACTGTTTAGCACTAGTCAAATTACTAGGAAGAAGATAGGGAACAAAGCAAAAGAGTTTTAATGTCACCATTTTTAATGAATCTGTCTGCAACTTGAATGATGTATACAGTTCTGGTTCTCACACCTCAGTGTGAATCTAATAATACCAGAAAAGATTCAGAGGTGTCAAGAGTGATCAAGAGCACCAGCCATCTTCCAATTAAAGTCTGACAATGTGGACTTCAATCTGAAAAAAGCACAATTAAGAAAAAAACGTGTCATGTTCTGTTCTCTGTACAGTGCTGACTGGAGCAGAAGAGATCAACAGGGATTTATTTATTTATTTTATTCTTCATTGTGCAAATATTAGAGCATAAACCTATCTGATAGGAGGTTCAAAAAGGATAAAAACAAAAGATAGGCTTTTTCTTCCTTCTACAATATTACAGTTTGAACACTACACAGAACTTGAAAAGTCTGAAAATGTATTAGAAGTTTAGTGGAGTAAAATTCAATTGAGTGTGTCAGTCTGCTTGTACTTCAAGAGGCTGGAATCTGGGAAAGCCACAGGAGGAGTCTTTATGGCTGCCCTGTTATATTTTTCTGTAGACATCTGTGTTGCCATAATTGTAGTCCTGTAATTGACTGGAGAAACCTTTGTTTTGATCCAGAGAGACAGTGTTTTACTTTGTCGTGCTCCTAGATGTGAATTAATGGAAAGAGTTTTCATAAAGCATTGTAGATTGAGATTGATCTAGAATGAAGCTGTGTTTTCCCTTGGCTCTTTCCATAGCTCCTACTCTGATGTTATCTTGCTATAAACTTACCAGGCTAGGTTACTTTTCCAGTCCAAGTTATTATTATTACAGTTTCCATGGTTAATATTGTTTGGGTTTTTTTGCTAAGCGCCTTGCAAATTCATTGTCAAGCCAAATCCCAAAGCTCCTGTTAGTTTACATGAAGCTCAACAGTCAGATCTTATTTAATATCCAGACCTTGTACTTTTTCTGAACATTACAACTCTTTTAATTCAGCCTATATAAAATACAAATTACAAATGAGCTGTGAATTAAAAATGAACTACCATGAAATACAAAACTCTCAAAGCTTAAAACTTCTAAAATAAAAAAAGAAAGCCAAGTATTTTGTACATGCATAGCTAGATGAAGAAAGTGAGATCCAGCTATCCAGCTTCTGCTAGCTGGAGTGGTCATGTCTGTGTGGAGTAGTGCAGTGCTGTGTGTGTTGGCTCCTCATGCTGTGGAATATTTTCCCCGTGCTGTGGAAGGTGCTAAAGTGTTCTTACCCAGATGGTTCATCAAGAGCTATATAGATGTGTAGAATCTTTTATTTTTGTGCTCCCCTAAGTGTGGTATTCCGGATGCTAACATTGTACACAGAGTTAAAGACAATGAAGTGGAGGAGCAGCACCAAACCTGTCTGAGGTGAAGAAGCATTTGGACAAAGCACCCTCAGGCACATGATGGGATTCTTGGGGTGTTCTGTGCAGAGCCAGGAAGTGGACTTGAATATTCTGATGAGTCCCTTGCAACTCAACGTACTCTATGATAAAAATACTCTAAGCACTGTTGTTTGCAAAGGCATCTCCTACCTTTCAGGCTGTTGAAGTGCAGACTGTGCAGTGCTGGGAAAGCATTCTGAGGAGCTACTGCTGTTTGTATACCTTCTTAAATCTGTCAGCATGCTTTATGTATTGTTGGAGATGTTAAATTGCTTAGTATGGATTTTCTTATGTTTTTGCACTGTGTGTTTCTGAGCATTGAGCAGATGTGCTCCTGAGTCACTAGCTAGAAACAGGAAGAAGGAAGGATAAATTATACTCTTTTCAAAAATTTAACTGAAGATTGAGTCTTCAAAGAACAGAAGCGCTCTTGATAATACTCCCAAAACCTATCCACTGCAATACTCCTTAGCTTATACTTCATTCCCTGGGAAAAGGTTCAGAGAATAAATAAGCAATAGATTTTACTCATGTTGTTATGCGCAAGCAACAGTATCAATTCATTTGACCTACTTTAGATGTTTACCTTAGAATGAGGTAAACTTGGCTGTTGAAAATTCTGTTTCTTTAGATTGATTATCTCAAACATACTTGATATAGTGAAAAACTAAACTTAGAATAATACTATACAATGGGCTTTATTACTTGAGAGAATCTTAACAGGACAATCTCTCAGAACAGTGCTTGGTGCTCGTACACTTAATTTTCAAGATGTGGGTAAATTGTGAGGCATCTGTGAGTCTTCATATATGGCCTTGACTTTCAAGTATGAAAATTGTTCAGTCTGTCTTCAAATGTGACACTCTGCCTTCTGTCACTTTCAAGACATACTGTCACTGACAGCGTAATTTCCCATTCACTAAATGCTGCAGTGGTTTTGCCACAGCCTGCTGGCTAATGAGTGCACAAGTGAGTGATGTAGACTTCTAGGAGGCTCTTGCCTGTTAAGAGATTGGATCTGCTGAAGGCTAATACAGAGAACAGAGTTTAAGGCTTGATGATTCTATGGTAACATAAGAATAACCTCAACATTCTAAAGAAACCAGAGGAATGTTCTGGCCATAATTCAGCAGGTTTGTGGATTTTTCTGATGCAGTTCTTGTAAGTTGCCAAAGTAAAAAATGAGGTGTTCATTGACTGGTGGCACACCACAAGATGCCTATTGTCTCATCTGCCTTTGGGTTAAAAGAAGTCAGTGTCATGGTGCTTTTGACTAATCTAGAGAGTCAAGAATCTAACACAGATCCTGTGGAGCCCTACCTCAGGCCCCCAAAGTCACAAAACAGTATTACATATGTAAATTATATATGTAAAAAAAATATTATGTATGTGACTGTCTATTTGATGTCCGCCTATCTAGTTCCTTCTCCCCATCCTTTTTCAGGAAACTGTCTTAAGAGATTTTTCTTTTAAAAAGTAAAACCTACTTGGGGCAACAGGAAAAACTTTTGAGATTATCAGAGGAGATAGTTCTGAGGTACTTGTTTATAATTCTAAAATAAGAGGGTAGTAGGCTTCCCTTGGAGGGAAATTTGTTCCCTTTGTAGACTATCAGAAGAGGTGGAATACAGTGGCATGATCCCTTTCTTGCAATGGGGACTGATTTGTAGCTCAGCCTTGTAGGCACACTTCTTCAACATATCTGTCAAACCATGATACAAGAACAACTGGAAGTTGTGGTTAATCAGAATCCCTATATGTGTGAGACCTTAGGCTCTGTCCTTCTGGCAATGTACAGCAAAGGCTGTGAGTACAGAAGAAATGTGTTGAAGGAAGCACTGTTAGCCTACTTTTTGGTGATTAGCAAGTGAAACTGCCTCTGGATACACTTCTGAAGCCATTTAGTATAACTGGATTGTAGCCAGAGTGCTGGTTATGGCATGAGAAATTAAATCTGTCCCTGAAGTGGAGGTTTGAGGGGACTGGACTGCTTTAAGATATAATATGACAGTCACCTATCTGCTCCAGAAATCAAGCAATCCTGATCTAGCAGTTAGATTCCTTATGGCAATGAAAACTGATTGCTCAGCCATTAAGAATGGGCTTCACCTCTCACCGCTGTGTACAGGGTCACATCACTGGCATAACCTCAGCAAAGTCAATACATCGCTGTGCAAAGTATTTCTATTTTAAAAAGTCTGATGATTTTCCTAGTGTTTCTGTACTTCTGAAATGGAGAGAAAGCATTCCTGTTGTGTGGCCCACAGACTTCTCCCTCGCTGAAGTCATAACATCATCTTACTTCCCTACAGGTTGAATATGTGCAGATCCTTTCCACAGCACCCACTGGGGGATTGTTACAGACCTCCATGACATGTGCTTTGTGTTGTGTCTCTGCACAAAGCATATCATGGGATGGATCCTTCCACTACTTGCAGGGGGCTTATAAAAAAGAGAGAGAGCTACCTTTTACAAGGGCAGATAATGATAGGACAAGGAGGGATGGTTTTAAACTGAAATATGAGAGCTCTAGATAAAATGTCAGGAAGAAATTCTTTACTCAGAGGGTGGTGAGGCACTGGAACAGGTTGCCCAGAG